CCCCGCGGGGCGGGGCCCGCCGGGAGCCGGCAGGCAGGGCGCCGTGGTGCTCCCCGCTCGCCCCCCGAAGCGCGCTCGTCAGCCTGCGCTCGCAGCGGTACGCGGAGCTCGTTAGGGCCAGATGGCGACAAACCAGAGGATCTGCCAAATCGTTTGTCATGAGCTCTCTCTTCTAGCTTTAGGCTTGTCATATAGTCAAGCCCATAGTTGGTGGAAGCGGCCCAAAGATGCAGATTTTATCAGTATTTGGGCAAGTCCTGAAAAAAAAATACACCCCTTTTCAAGCAAATTTCACCACTACCTTCAACCCATAGCTGGAGAGGACCAGGGAATTTTCTTACAGGCCATCCAGATGGATGCTGGATATTCACAGCTCACCGCGCTTGTGCGGACACACATTCACATGCATATTCCCCATTACATCCTTACAATACACCATTTCACGTCTTAAATAAAGACGAGGGGCAATTTTTTTTCTTAAAAACAGCGGAGGAAGGAGGCAGCTCACAGCAAGGCGGCTGGCTGCGGGCTGCTGCCACCATCGCGCCTCCAGGCTGCACGGAGCCGTGCTACTCTCCCGCTCCCCAAATACGACGACCCCTCTCCGTGAGCACAGGAAAAATGACTAAGAGTCGGGAGTTGAGGACTGACAAATCTTTCTGTTGAATTACAGACTAAACTGTATATACATCTGAGAATAACCGATGTATACTGTGACTACCAACATGTCCTTACTGGGACTGCACTAATAAGGAACAAAACCAACTGTAACATGTCAGAGTTACTGAGAGCAGCTTGCTAACTTAAGTAAAATTGCAGGGATCACCGTAATTTTTTTTTTTTTTTTTAAATACAAGATAGAGGCCGTCCTACCTTGCTCACACCACCTTCTTTTTATTCTGCCATCTCCCCATGGGTGCGAGCCCGGCCCGGCCATCAGGGCTGCAAGCCACTGACACGGGCGTGTTGGAAACACCACACTGGGTGCTTCAACACCCAGTTCCTGGCAGAAAGAGGTCTTTAACACAAAGCTCAGCACTAAAACAGTATAAAGTGTCACAGATGCTTAACGGAGGCCTCAGCAGACCTGCCAGTGGCACCGGGTGGGACACCCTCCTGTTCTGCTCTCATCGCAAAACGGGATCAGGTCGGACCGGAGGCACCGGGCACGAGCAGCGCAAGGGGGACTGCACCAACTGTGCCGGCATTTGGTTTTTGATTAAAAACAGGACTTAAATTTCTCACACTGCTGACACGAGCACTCACTTGCCACAGCACTCACTTTAAAGAAATGGATGCAGAAGTATTTTTGATTTTTGCTATGGGACACGTAACCAGTTAGCCCATCCTTACTGCCAGGACCTCTCACGTGCTGCCAAGGTGCAAGCTGGCGCTGGTGCTTGTGGGTGCCAGCCAGAGCTTCCTCCCTCACCGCTCCCTCGTGTGCGCCAGGGGAAGTGGATTGGGTGAATAATCATGCATATGCACTCTGAGGAACCAAAAGTGGTGCAGACTACCGCTATATTTACCAGCGGATAAGGAGAGAGAGCAGCTGCAGCGAGTCTCTCCCGCACTTCCCTGTCTGTGACTCCGAGGACGCTGGCACACGGACAGACCGCGCATCTTTGACATTGCAGAAGCTGCTGCTTTGCCACAGCGAACTAGTGCACACGACCAAAAGGTGACTTTCCTCTTACCTTCGCTAGGGTACAAGGCATTTCTTGAAGATAACTGAATTGAACTGAAGCTAAAAACGAAACGCACATTATGTAGTTTGGTACACAAAAAAACTGTATTGTGGTCATTTTAGGCCAAGGATGGGAAGGCAGATTCATCTCCGCCCACGCCAGCAGGACCAGACACAGTAAACACTGAAACCAAAGTCTGCTGATGATAAACAGCACTCACCATGAAGTCTATATTGTTGTCTTCATTTCGGAAGTGCTCCATCAGCTTCTCAAAGCGCTGTTTCTCTCCACACACCTATGAAAGAATCACCATGTGTTTGTTAAACTACAGCTTGCAAGAGAGAGTACCGAAAACATTTAAAAAGTAGGTGATCTGCTTGCTCAAAACCTCTCCCTCCAGGTTTCCTCTCTTGTTAAAAATATTCTCCTTCATGACAACTCTAGCAGAGGAATCACAGGTGTACACCCGTGCTGCAGGTCTAAGGGGTCAGGTACAATTGTAACATAAATTTTTGTATCTCTTTTTCTCCTAAAAATTTAATCGTACCCACTGATGGTACGAACGTAAGCAACAGAGTTGTACCAGGCTATGCTCAAGGAAGACTCGTCTTCTTTCACAGCGCAGAATTGGATTTCCACTGTAATATAATGTAATTAGGAAGAAGAACAAATTACAGGGAGGAAAGAAAGACAATTATCACTGGCTAAATGAGGAGTGAAATCTATCGGCATAACCATCAGCTGGTCCGAATTACAGAGCCGTAATACAGGGGTGTTGGCAGGAAACACACGCAACTTGAGGGAGGAATAAGATCTAAGATAAAGCAGGTCTCAGGATACTGTTTAAATCTCATTGCTTCTTAGTAGCTTCTCCGGCTCAGTCCTACTTTTCTCAGCAGACAAACGACCCAGAGTAATCCACACCAAAATCACAAAATATTAAATAAGTTGGAAAGCGAAAGGGAGCAGAGGTGAGCACCAAGAGATGCACCCATCTCCCCATCCTCCCTGCTTAGCAACTGCATCCCCTCCATCCATGGTGTGTCCTTTGGGGTATTTTTTCTACCTCCGCGTGAACGGACTACACCAAACACTGAGCCGGAGGCGCAGGAGCTGCACGCAGCAGCCGCCCCGAGCCCGGCCATCCCAGCGAGCCCGACCGCCCCAGCACAGTGCGACAGGAGGTGATGGAGGTAGTGCAAAGGGTCCTGCACCTTCCCAAATCCACTTGGAGCTTCCTCCTACCCTGCAGCATGAGCTGACTTCTCGCTTGGTGGACTTTGGTGTCAAACTGAGCAGTGAATTCAGGAAGAGCCCAGGCACGCTATTCCGAACAAAGACCCTTGGGGAATCACATCCATCCACGAACGGTGCTAAATCCCGTACCCAGCTTCACCCTCCTCAGACACTGGCTGGTTGCAGAGGCACAGGAGAACCTCTGAAAGGTCCTGAAAAGCAAAGTCTGGTCATCCGCAGGTCTGAAACTTCCCTTCTGCTGAGGAACAAAACCCTCAGTGAACCCAAAAGGTTCCTTCCTTCGTTAACCAGATTTCACCCAAATGTCCCAGGAGCGCTGGGTGCTACTGATCAGGAGGAGGGGGGACAGCAGTGGGACCTCCGACCCCGGCTGTCCGTTAGGGTCCACCAGCTTCTGAGCAGCACACCCCTCTGAGATATCAGCTGTCGCTTCCATTAAGGGCCAGCTCACGGCAGAGTAGTTATGTGAAATTAGCCAACGAACAGTAATTAAGGATTGGCAGGAGCACTGGCTACTTCTTTAGAAACTAACCTCTCTGGGGCAGGGGCCGGTTCTCTGTGCGTAATTTTACGTTTGCGTCTCCCACAAGCAGACCAAATTCCCAATTGGGGTTTTTAGATACTCCCAAAAAGCAAGTTCTTCACAAATTATGCACTATTACCACTACTCCCGTATCAGCTTCCTCCTTCTAACTGTGTCTATCTTGTAGCACGTACCTCCGCAAAGACTAAGGCACCGCGCAGACCTCGCTGAAGTCACACAGAGTTTAGTGGGACCTAAACCGAGCTGATCAGGAGATCCCCAAAGCACTGCGGGTGGTGGCCTGCTGGGTGACCTCTCACCACGCTTTCTGCTGTCTCTTATGCCTGAATAAAACATACTTGTGGTGGACGTGATACGTCTTCTGTCATTCCTCAGCAAAATTGCCACAACCGGGTTATTACTGAGATACTTGTGGTCAGTACCTGACGTCAATGGGAATTCTGGCACTGGACCTCTGTGAGAGGACGGGGACGCTGGTTATGATGAATTGTTTGATAACATTACCATCAATATTCATGACCACAATCCCACAAGTCACAATTAATGGGCTCGGTGCAGGCTCAGGAACCCCCACTCGCACAGCCTCTGGTAGGCCGGGCGCTGAAGTCCACGCAAACCCTTGCTGAACTGTATTTAAATGTTTCCAGCTGAACCTTAAAAGACTCACAAGGTAGAATAAACAAACTTAAACAACAAAGCATGCACCCTCATGAAAACCAGATTACACTTTTTGGTCAAGCAAATTATCGTGATCTGAAACCTCAAGGACTGGGCTCTCTCTACGGCCTGTGCCATGAACGTGGTTTTGAAGCACTGAACACCTTCACATGGGCTGCTCCCCCGGGCCCCAAAACACCCATTAAGAGCTAAGACAGAGCAAACCAGAGCCGAGACAGACCCACTCTTGGATGGAGCAAATCTCCTCCTTGGTACATGCAAGGGGCGAAGTGTTCCCGACCTGTTCCTGCTTAGCGGAGACAGGGTCCCTGGGACATGGCAAGGATGGGTGAGTTTGGGGAGCCGCTGCTGTTCGGTTTCAGGCTGTAAATCTGCAGTCTAATCTTGGGCTTTTCTTCAGGACTAATCCTCGTAAAGGCTCCCTACAGTGTCGGGAATAGCCTGGCTGGGAGATCAAAGCCCCACACCACATACACATGGCTGACGGCTAGAGCAGCTCCAAGGAAAACTGAGGGGGAGCACAGGAGCTCCTGCCCGGCCTCCCAGCGCCTTCGCTTCGCAGCTGGTGGCTCAAGAGCTGGCGTGGCTGGTGAAGAGCCTGAGGGTCTGCAAAGCCACCCAACGGCCAAACTCAAACCCCAAATGGCCAGGAGGACCCTTGGGAAAACAGAGAGATCACCGTGAGCATTCTGGCACGACTACCCTGGTTTCCCAAGCGCGCAACTACAAGCGGGAGGTGGGACGAGCACACTCCAGCGGGGACCAGAGCATCTCCGCACCATTTGCCAGCATCCCATCCTGCTCCCTCGCTCTCCGCATGCAGGACCAGGAGTCCTTTCGTCGTGAAGAAGCTCGAGTTCATTGAACACGCAGCAATGGGACCTACTCCGGGCACTTACCACGGATGCGCTACCGGGCACCCTCACGCCAAGGGCCCACTGAAAGCACTCCTGGCAGGGTGCAGCTCCACGGTGGCGTACGTCCCTCCCGGGACACACACGGTTCCATGCAGGAGCCACACGCCCTTCAGAAGGAAAAGAGAGGAAGAGCTGCGAAAAGGCCAGCCTCCATCAGGAAGAGCCAAAGAGAAAAGCAGGATCTGGCCGCGTTTCAGGAACCTCCTGGCACTGTAAGGATCAAAGGCAGCAGCTGCCCATCCATGTAATTTGATTTCGGAGGCGTACGCTGGGCCAGCTCCAACTCCCGCTCACAGCACACCCGAGGAACCCTCTCCTTCACTTGCACCGCAGGCTGCTCAGAGGCACTCAGCCCTACGTTATTATCCCAAGCCATTTGCTTCCAACTAAATGGGTTGGTATTTCGGTTCAACCAACTGCAAACCCTCCCAGCGCTCTCCGTACGCTCCCCTCCCCGCAAAACAGGTAGCAGTCTACATAACAAAAGAAAAAAAAAGGTAGGTTCATCACAACTTTGAACTCTAAACAATCGCGTCTCTCTTGTACCCACTTCAGAAAAATTTAAACCAAATCATGTATTGTGGAAACAAACATAACAATGGTGCATACGATCACCCAACAATAAAAGCCAGAAGGACTGATTTCTGGGAAATGTAACGCAAACTGTTCCACATGGATGAGAAAAGCTGACATAAACAACTACAAGCCATTTATGGCTGACTAATTAAATTCAGGAACAACCTAAAGCGATAGAGCCCCGGCAGGGAATCGCCAATGCCGGGCGGCGAGCAGCTCCGGCTGGCTGGGGTACGGCAGCTGATAGCAAGAGGAAAAGCAACAACGACCTGCGGCTTTCGGCGGCTGCTCGCAGATATTTCACACTATCATCAGATGAGTCAGTGCTGGGAACATGTGCACTTCAAGAGACAGCGAGCTGACTTTCATGGAATGATATAATTTATCCTGGAAGATTAAAGAGGGTGAAACTGTAGATGAAGCCTACAGCCTGAAGATTGGCCAACGGCCAAGACGAATGCTGAAATCAAATCCCACCACATAAAACCATATGTTGCCATTTATATTGGAATAAATTTCCAAGGTCTGTCATTTGGAAGTATGGCTGGGACTAAGAAAGGCTGATCTTTCTTTTATTAGCATTATTCTGTGTAAGAAGAAAGATTAAACGGGTTACCACAGCTATAAAAAAACCTCTGTCTCTACTCAGGCTGTGAAAAAAAAAAAACCCACAAAACTTTTTAGGTTGCTTTAAGCCCACATCATTCTAGAAGAACAATGTGGCTTTATGGAAAACCACCCACGACGGGTCCTTTCTTTGGGAACGCTTTGGGTGCTAACGAGGTAAACCCATCACAGATCTGTTACAAAGGTACAATCCAATCCTATAAGGAAGCAAAAGGATCCGTTACGAAAAATTTAGTCACGATTATATCCGTATCCACCTGGCAATGCTCTCAGGTCAGACCACCCAAGAGCCCAGTTCAACTACGACAACCCTCACGTTGCTCCTGCTCATGTGGCCGTATTTCTGTAAGATGCTCCAGAAGGGAGACCCAGGCAGACAGCAAAAAGGTATTTTGGAAAAATTGAAGATGTTTTCATGTGCAGGGTCAGGCAGAAAGTGAAAATCCAGGCTGGTTAAAGCACATCCGTCGTCCTCCTACCTCAGACAGTTATCTAACGACATGAAGCACCACCTCATTTTGCTGGAGAATGGAGGTCGTAACTAAAGCTCACCACGAGCAAATACAGCATGCTCCATACGGAGATGGCAGCGAGCACAGGCAGTATTTCAGGCTCTGGAGCTGCGGCTTGTTGGCCAACAGTACTGAACGCACACTACGCGACACAGCTGCCAGACCGCTATCTCCTCCACATCTG